AACGAAAATCATACTTTTGACTTTGACAGGTCGCCATTTTGTCAAATTTTTTTTTTTTAAATCCTTCGATCACGAACTAGATAATCTTATAATAAATGTAAATCAATTTCATTTTTGTATTTCAGACGAAGTATACTTGCAGAATGCTGGTCACCGCAATTCGCCTTTTTTCTTAAGGCGCCACTTCAATGGCTCATATCCCTAAAAGTTTTTGTTAAAAAAATTTTTTTTTTCTTTTAAATTACAGCTTTTAACATGTACTTTTAACTAATAAATAGTATTCTTTAAAAAGATTCATTGTTCTTTTGGAAAATATTCTTGTAAAAAGCATTATTTCTTGAGTTACAACTGGTGTTCCCCCCTTAATTTCCTATTCAAATTCCTGTTCCAATTACGTATACGATTTTGTATAGGAAACCATATGGCTTCCTATATAGGGACCCATGTGGGTTCCCATATGGGAGCCTATGTGGGAATTTTCAGTGGGGTCACGCGTGCGTCAAATATGAGGACGCATCTGCGTGCTCAAATGATGTCACGCCGTGCAAGCCAAATGTCTAGCAATGTGCATGTATTCTTTCTATCTGGGTTAATAATATAATATATAGCACAAAATTAGTTAAATACTAATTTAAAAGGTCTCGAAGACATAGTGACATATCTTCTTCGTTTAAAATGAGATGTCGACGGAAAGGTGCTCAAAATTGTTATAGGCCTGCCAAAGAAAATAAAACAGCCCAAAAAGGCGAATGCAGCCAGGTCGAAAAAAATCTCAACATTCAACGAAAAAAGTGTATCGGAAAAAATAGATTAATTCTCGAGTGGATAGTTTCATCTAATATAGCACAAAATGCTATGACAAAAAAATATAAGATTTTACCTACAGACATTATAATATTAACGACTGATTTGTTACCCTACGAAATAATTGATAAATATATTGTCTTAATGGAAGTAAAACATTTTTTTCATGCCTGCATGAAATTTATTATTAAAAATTTACGAAAAAACAAAAAAAAAAGTTTCCTAGGATTGCAGGAAATGTACAGGGAATTTAAACAGTCTTCTCTCCATTGGGTGCGAGGAGTACTTAGGTTGGTTCCATAAAAAATGTACAAATTTACGGCGAAACCCAAAAATTTTCTTCTGTTCGACTTGTAAAGAGAAGCATTCAGGGATATTAGAACAGTATTTCTTTTAAACTTGTACAGAAAACCAAAAATTTTATACTGTTACACTTGTCAGAAAACAACAAATTTTATTCTGTTATACTTGTATAGAATACAAAAAATTTATAAAGTTTGTTATAACTTTTAAAAATTAGAATTCTTGGATTCCTATAAAACATTCCTACAAAACATGTAATTTTCAAAATGGGATCCTTTAAAGTTTTTCAGATATTAACTAATTAATTAATTAATGTTTATAACAAATGAAATATTTTACAAACAAATAAAGTTATGGTAGTTCTGAACTTACCAATTGAATGTTAAGGTAATTCCGCCTTCAACGAGCACTATATGAAGTATTTTGGATAAGTAGATTGTTAAGAAACAATTGCAATGTTAACTAATTGTTTATTAACAATATACTTATCTAAAATACTTCATATAGGACTCGTTAGATGCGGAATTACGTTAACTTTCAATTGTCAATTTCAGAATTGAGGGGTCGGATACAATAACAACCAGTACGCTCGGCCGGTCGCTTTGAAGCCAACCAACACCTCAAAATTGAAACTCAAAATTCGGATTTTTCAGAAGCACTACTTTATAGAAGATAAAAAAACATATCTTTTTTCTCTTAGAATTTTTTTTTTAAATCCAATATTTTTGATAATAAAAGCAAAAAGCCCAAAAAAAATTTTATCAAATGTAATGAAATTTTAAAATGTAAACGATTATTTCTTTCACAAATAGTAATAAATTTGTTTACAACTTGGTATACATACTAAATTAGGTCTAATAAAGCCATTAAAACATTAGAAAAGGCAAAAAAAATTATTGTTTTATTATTTTTAATTAAAAATTGAAAGAGGTCGATATTCACATTCTCTAACTTTTGACGATAAAATGTCTGCAGGGAATTTCAAAACTGTAAGAACTTCTCTCATAATATTTATTCACTACTATTTCAGGAAGTTTTCTGCAAAATTCCAAATCAATTCCTGTTATAGTTTTTAAAAAAATTAATTTTCAAGAAAAAGCGGATAGCCCATCGCGTTCACTTCACCCGCTGGAGACTCTTTCTTGAAGCATGTGAAATTATTTCGGCTCGAATAATAAGAAATTAGTGAAATTAGAAGAAAGTTATGTTTATTTTTTGTGATCAGTATCTTATATGTATGTACATTAGTATTAGAATTGTTAACAATATTAATATTAGTAATATTTATAATTCATACTTGATATTTTGTAAATATTTAAAATACGCATATTTTCTCAGTCTTTTAAATAATTTGTTTTGTTATTAATATTTTTAATATCTATGACAGTCAAGATAACAGGAATTGATTTGGAATTTTGCAGAAAACTTCCTGGAATAGTAGTGAATAAATATTATAAGAGAAGTTCTTACAGTTTTGAAATTCTCTGCAGACATTTTATCGTGAAAAGTTAGAGAATGTGAATATCGACCTCTTTCAATTTTTAATTAAAAATAATAAAACAATAATTTTTTTTCCCTTTTCTAATGTTTTAATGGCTTTATTAGACCAAATTTAGTATGTATACCAAGTTGTATACAAATTTATTACTATTTGTCAAAGAAATGATCGTTTATATTTCAAAATTTAATTAAATTTGAGAAAATTTTTTTTTGGGTTTTTTGCTTTCATTATCAAAAATATTGGATTTAGAAAAAAAGAGCCTCGGCAAAAAGTGCCCCTTTTTGTACCTTTCTCGCGTAGTGTTTTACATATGTAATAGAATGTATTCTGTTAAAAAACACATCTCTGTGATAGGATATACGGCCCTGGAGTGTTTACAATTTTCGGCGTCAAGGACGAATTCCGTAGAGAGGTCCAAGACTCTTCCTGTCCTCTCTTCAGAGACTCTAGTGTAACAAGTTTTAAGTCAATTGGATCGATTTTCAAAAATGTCGTCCGCCATATTGGATCCGACATTTTGAATTTTTAAAAACGGACATCACATTCGTAATCAGAGACCCCAAAAACTCCCGAGTAACGATTTTCACGTCAATTGGAGCGATTTTTAAAAATGTCGTCCGCCATATTGGATCCACCATTTTGAATTTTTAAAAACGGACTTTAGATTCGTAATCAGCAGAAGAAAATCTTAAGGGAACCATTTGGTCTGATTTTTTTTAACATTATTATTCGATTATATTGCATATTCTAATTTTGGACATGGCCCCCTTTGACCCCCTGTATTTCGGAAAGGGGGCACATGCTCATCTAGAAATTTTGCAGGGATTATTGGGTCATCATATGTAACTATTTGGCATAAAAAAAGTTTCAAAATTCGAGGTACGAAAAAGGGGCATTTTTTGCATGGGGCTTGCCGAGGCTCTTTCTGAGAGAAAAAAGAATGATTTTTTCTACTCAAGAATCCATATTTGAAGGGTAGAATGACAAAAGGGGTCAAGCGTCAATTTATCGAAAATGAGGTTTTTGCATAAAAAAATCAAGAAAATTCATTTACACATTTCTGTAGAAGGATTTCCTTTTTTATTACGTACTTAAATCAGTTTTTAATAAAAATTAAATTAATAAAATAGCCTCAAATTTACTTTATTGAAACCTGATTGAAAAAGAAAAGAAAGTGGTGAGTCAATAATATTATGCATAACTTAACAAATTTAAAAACATTGCTTTTTACAAATCGAAAATGCCTCGCAGATTCGAAAAAAATCTATTAATAAAAAAGATATTGTTAAAAAGAAACGATATGAAGGTGAAATGTTTTTATGAATTTCAATCTTCACATTTTTATCCATCTGTTCAATTTTGATCAAAAATATTATTTTTTTAGGTTTTATTTTAATATTTTATTTTAATTTTATTTTAATAATATTTTAATTAATAAAACTAATAATAATAATAATATATTTTCAATTTTAAACAATTTTAAAATCATTTTGTTATTAATTTTTAAATATTTTTATGATTATACTAAGTGAACAATTGAATTTAAAGATGAAAGTATTGCTCAATTCCAAAGCAAGCAATTAATTCGTAATTTTCTTGAAAACAAACAATTTTTTAAAGGAATTTTTTTTTCTATTCATTTCGTCGATTCCATAGAAAGAAACGAATTTTCCTGTTTTTCTTTAAACTGTATATTTTTTTATAATTAATGCTTAAAGAAAATGTGCGCAGTTGATATAACCTCAAGGCACCACAGTTTTTTTTAATTTTATCGTTAATATGAAGGTTTATTTCAACAAATTGTTGTTTATTTATTAAAACATACTAATATATCGAAACGGTTTTCTCAGTTTTTTTTTAAATGACCTGCAAAATTTTTAAAAATGTTTTTTTTACTTCCTGTAAAAACAGTGAATTGGCGCTTGACCCCTTTTGTCATTCTACCCTTCATTTATACATTTACAATTTACTTTTTATAAAAAATACGGGAGATTATGATACAATAATATTCAAATTGTTTTCAACTTTTACATGTGTTTTGATTGTCAACAACCCATTATTTCTCGTTAATATTTTTGCCACTATTTTGTTATTGTCTTATTACTTTCTTATAATTAAAAGTCAAAATTCAACGCAAGGTAAGATTTGCAAATCTATAAATTCAGTTCGTGGAGTGACTGCATGAATGAAAATGAATTTGAAAAATAAGGATATTAGTTATATGTAAAATAGTAAATCCATTACAAAGCAATCAAAATTAAAGAAAAGCAAATATCAATATGACGAGTGTAACGCCATCTAGTGCATTGCGTTACTTTCTTAAATAAGACTAATGACCAAATTAATAAATATACAAGCAACTAGAAAGAAAATAATTAACATATTACATTACCTCTGGACAACCTAATGCAGCATCATACCCAGCAGAAACTACTACAAGATCCGGTTGAAACTAAAACAAACAAATAATTCAGATTTCTACAATATTTCATAAGAATTCCTTTAAAAAAGTTTAACTCATGGGTGGCACGATAGGGTACAAAAGTTTGTCTAGAAATATCGCTAAAATCAAAAAACTTTTAAAAGTTGGTATATTAATTAAAAAATTAGCGGTCACTCATGTTGTTCAATGACTCAACTTATCTTTCTGTAAGTGTTAGCTATACAATATTCTGCATAATTTTCTGATATTTTTATTTAGTAAAACATTATGGTTTGGAAAAAATGCGTCCCTCAATATAATTAATTCCTTATTTTAATCCATACCTCATAGGCCATTGGTAACAAAACTTGTTGAAATATGGCAATGTAATCAGCATTAGTCATGCCGGTTTTATTAAGAGGAACATTAAAATTGTATCCTTCTCCAGGACCTAATCCAATGTAGTCGTAATCTGATTCTCTCAAATTTGGCCAAAATTCGCCATTTTCATATCTGTGTATAGAAAAATAGACTACTCTGAAAAGAGAAAATAATTAAATGTATTTTTTTTAATTTCTATATATTATTAACTTTATCATTATTATTAATTGTTTCAACTGACCTTGAATCATTGTAAAACATTTGCTGAGTCGCTTGTCCATGATGTACATCCCAGTCAATAATTAAAATTTTCTTTGCTAAATTCATATTTAACATTTTTTCACAAGCTATTGCAACGTTATTAAAGAAACAGTAACCACAGAACTCAGCCTTCATCGCATGATGGCCTGGTGGTCTGAAACAATTTTTTAAAAAGTCTTTGTTAACACATATAGTTATTCAATAAAAATTTTATTCATTCCTTTTAACAAGGAATTAACTTTTTACGTAAGTTGCATTTAGGTTTTATTATTAACTCTCTGCTTATGCTAAATTTCCAAACTCTAGAGTCAATTAACGTAATTCTCGTAGTTCCCATAGGCTTTCAAATTGATGCTTTTTGACATAACGACCACTAGCAGAAAGTTAAGGAGGATTCCTCATGAAATTTTTTTTTTTGTTTTGCAATTTTACTATCCTTAATGTATCTGGAATACAGGTTTAAAATTTTATGACGAAATTTAACTCCTACAAAAAGTTATAGCATAATACATGTACATATGTGCGTAAAATCAAATAACGAAAAAAAACTTTAAATGCGTTTTTAAATCTTCTTCTTGAAATCAGAAACAACGATTGCAATTAAACAGATTGTGTTTCAGTCAATCGATATGGAGTTGAATTTAACGGATGAACCTGACAATCGACAACAATCTTGGAATATTCGATTTTGATTGGTGTTATCCAATATTTCTACATAGTGACTAGTGAGCCTGATGTCCTTTATTTTAAACAACTTTTCCTCTAAAAAAGGACGGCCTGTGGAATAGAATTCAAAAATAAACCAACAAAACCTTACCATTACAGCCTAAATTTCATGTAGCTTATCATTTCAAAACCCCTATTGTTTGGTGAATAATAAAAGCGTTCAATTCTAATGTATATTTAAGTAAATTAAAAGATAAATTTTTACAGAAATGTAGAACTAATTTAAAAACTCTCGACGTTTGCGAAACTAAAAAATTTAATATCGACATAAAAGATTAAGTAAAAGTTACCTTATAATTGCCATTCCGTTTTGAATTTCTCCTTTACAAATGCTCGTTACAAGATTTATAGTTGATCCTACTGCTTTCAGTGATTGTCTATAAGTAGACTTAAAAATAAAAAGCTACATAAATAAAAAATTATCGTAAAGGACAAACATAATATCACTTAAATTAATTCTAAAAACGTCAGTTTTTTTTAAATGGGAAACCACTTTAGAAGATGATTTTTTTAATTGCATAAATCGTTAGTAAAACTATCAAAAACTATGCTCAGGAAGTATTAATGCGATATTCAAAGTGCATTTTATGTTACCAGTATGATAGAAACACACTTCGGTTGACCACTAGGGAGAGAACAGATAGAATGGAGCTGTTGTTTAGGTGATGCAACTAATTATAAGTAAAGCCGTTAAAAAAGAAGAAAGAAAAGAATAATAATATATGATACAGGAATAGCAGATTAAAATGAAAGGACAATATTTTAACCTTGAAATTCAATGATATATAAAAAAATCAATTATTTTTTTTTTAAAAATCATAAGTAATGTAACTTAGGAAGACTTAAATCGATTGTTTTGTACGCCAGTCCTGTCTTGAGACAGGATAAATAAAAATTCAATGAGGGAGGAAAAAATCTAATGGAAACAAGGCCATCAGGCTAATTATTGAGCGACTGTTTGATCTCGCACCAAATACATGAAAAAAAAGTTTCCGGTGAAATTTCTTGTAACTTTGCAATTTTACAGTTTTAACCTCCTAAAGAAAAAATCTTAATAGGAAAATCCAAAAAAATGGATAGTTTTTTTGTAGAATAATGTTGGAAGTTGAAACTCGTTACTCGGGGGTTTTTGGAGTCGCTGATTACGAATCCGATATTAGTCACTAGACGCTTGAACCAGGTTCAATACCAGATTTGTAATCAACGACACCGAAAACCTAAAAGCAAGGATTTTTAATTTATTTCAATGAATAAGAGCATTAGTATTGAAAAAATAATATTTTTATTGCTTTAAAAGATCCCATCAAAACATTTTTAATATTTGTGTTAACAAGTAACAAATATTTTATATCTGGTGAATTCATTTAAAAAATTGAAAATTTATTGATACTTACTGGATGGAAGTAAACAGCATCATATCTGGAAGATAATTCCTCAAGTTTATTAACATCTTTGATGCTTTCTGTTGATTTAAGAAACTGTATGTGTTCCCTATTATGTTTTAATAACAGTTCTTCTTCGTCTGCAAATCTTGATTCAATTATTTTACATCTATCTACTAATTGTAATTCATTGCAACGATCCAGAACTTTTTGAAATCTGTCTGGACATTCCTGATAATTTAAATCCCAAAGGCATCTGTGTTCAATCATAGTAAGATCATAAACAAGACCAGTGCTTAAACGTTGTAATACCTTCGAACTTATTGCATTATCGTATATATCATGCACTGGAGAAATATACTGATTTTCTTTTTGTAATTTCTTTTTATTTATTAACTTTTTTTTAGAAGCCATTGTAGATACAATTTATCTGAAAGAAAGAAGAAACATTTATACACAATGAAATTTGTTTAAGAAAAATAATCAGCAGCCTGAAGAGGATGGATTCGCATTTCTTATAGTTACATTTTAATTTCCATATTGAGAAGTATTGACAAATATTATTAAGGGGGGCGCCTACTTTATCGGGTCAAAAAAATTGATTTTTTAAAAGTTGTCTTAACTGAAAGTACAACTATCAGAGAATATGCTCTTAAAATATTACGTCAAAATATTAAGTATTTTTCGAGTTACAGCTTGTAGAACACAATAAAGCGCGTGGCCTGGCGCGCGACTCCACTCGCAGTCTCTAATACTTTTCATAATTTGTTGCGCTTATCTACTATTACACCTACCATTAAAATTACCATTTATCAGTAAAATGTCGTCTTATCCAAGAGCTTCCCATAAAACAATAGTCGTTCATCGAGGCCGCGAAAAAGACGTAAGTTTTTAATAAACAGCACTTACATGTTTTTCAATCTTTAAACTCGTTTTTCTCAAAACACTGTTTTTGTAGTTTGCGTACACGATAGACAAAAATCTATTCAACCGATTAAGGTCTACCTGGGCTTGTTTTGAAGATAAAAATTGTCTCTTCTGTATGAATTAAATTTGTTTTTGATAGAGTTAAATTTAGTGCTTTTTTTTTAAGAAAAAATGAGATTTTTTTGGCGAAAATTAAATTTTATTTAAAAAAGTCGTGTAAAAATGTCAGTTTTTACTTTCTATTGAAATCTGTTAATTCATACAGAAGGCAATAATGTATATTTAAAGAAAAAAAATTGTTTTTTTTGTTTTAGATAAGAATTGTGGACCGTAGGTTGTACGCAATGGGAAAATTTCAGCAGCGAGGCGTTATATATATGGCGTTTATTTTATTATTAAATTCTATTTTCATTTAATCAAAAAATTATATTTAAAAGATTTAAATATGTATATAAGAAAACATACACTAAATCTCGCATCGATTTATTTAAATGTGTTTGAGAAAAAAATTCCTGAAATGTACGCAGTTTTTTACCTTCTAAAGTAGGCGCCCCCCTTAAGCAATTCTTGAAGGTCACTCTGCGCCTTAAACATACATTCATTAATTATATATACAATAATTAAATCGTCGGCGAAACCAATGGCCAACCTATTTCCTTGAGCATTTAAATTGTACGCTGATAACAATTCACATATGTATATATTAAATAACAGTGGCGAATTTACGGCGCCCTGTTGTAGTCCGTTTTTTATTTCGTAATGTGAACTTTCTGTGTTATCAGAGAGCGATATGAACATTTTTCTGATTGTTATCATTGCCCAAATGATTTTAGTTAAAAAAGTTGGGAAACGCTTTTTTATCAATTAGTAGTAGGGCTGTACCAGTTCTAAAACACAGGTAATACAGGTATCTACCTTACCGACATATGGTAACTCTACTTTACCCTTGGCGGATGTTACCGACCGTTGTCGCGAGATGGCGCTGTTGCTCGAGGGAATTTTTCAATTTTAACCCGTTAGGTCACCTCCCTTACAGCTCACTTTCCACCCTCTTGGTCACCCACCACCCCCCTTATTTGCATATAATTTTTTGAAATTTAAACCTTTTGGTCGCCTACCCACCCCCCCAATTTGCATATGTCTTCCCTATGTATAAATATATACTGTCCCAAAAATTCAAAAATCATAATTAGAACCTCGAGGATCAAAGGGTTCGCGAGATACCGCGCGGGACTGTGGGTGGTTGGGAGTGGGTGGTGTACAGTGGATGACTCAAAAGTGAAAGGTGCGCGGCAGATGAGCGCGTACGGTCACCGGGCCCGTTGGTAGTCCATGTGTCAAGTGGGGATAGAGTTCAGTGGTGGGATTTGTGAATGGTGGGGACTAAATTTACCTTAGGCGATTCCCGTGGCAAGGAAAGTGATTCTGTTTCAGCTTCCAGTATCAGCAGCAGCAGACCTTCAGCACTCGCAGCAGTAGAATTAAAATAGAGAATCCCACCCACATTCCTCACACTTGGTCACCCTCTACCACCCACTCATGTCTTTTTAAGCTTCCCTCCCACTAATTTGCATGCCGATTTTATTTTCCATGGTATGTAACTATTTTACCATTCAATTCATAACAAATTTCATCAAACAAATAGGTTATAGCATTGTTTGTGAACTGAATATTTTGTGTGGCATCAGTCCCATCAGCATTAGTCAACCTTCCAAAAATATGTAATACACTGTTGCTCGGTAAACGGATTGTTATTGTCTCTCCTCTAAAATTAACCAAAATACCGGTCTGATCTACTATACGTAGCTGAACGTTATGTATTGTCCTTACGGCGACTGGAAGGTAAATGATGTGTGCTAGAACTTCTACAATCTTATATCCTGGTGGAATAGTAGGGAAAAATTCATGTATAGTGTGAACTTTTTCACCATTTATATACGCTCCAGTAATAATACTACATTCAATGCGTAGAGCATTCACTTTCAATATTTTTACAGGTAAATCGGAGTAATGTTTTAAATTTGGTATTAGTTTGCGAGCAGTGAATCCCAATAAACTACCAATATAATCTTTAGGAGTAAAATCAATCGAAAGATTTGATTTAATATTGCATCCTGATGTACTATTGTTGGAATCTATTGCTAAATAATCTTCATCTGGAATTTGACGTCTCAAATATTCTTCTATATCTTTAATTTCATAACTACCAGTAGGTATAGTAATCTCAAAATCATTTATGTAAAATTTGTTGGAACTTTCATCAATATTAGGAATTGAGTTATATGTAAATAAATCAACAAGTCCAAGTGTATAATTTTTATTAGGTGAAAGTTCAATAGGTGGGAAGTATGAAGCCTCCAGAACTGAAGACTTTCCCGTTAACTTTAAAGTAAAAGAGTCATTCATGTTGGACATCTACACTACCGTCCGAAATTGTGCGAACTCTGCTTTTTCAACAACTATAAAACTGTTCAAATCTTCAAAAATATTAAAACTAAAATTTTTTCCTCTTTATTTTATTAAAGTTAATAAAATTCTGAAAAAAATGATACCTTGACAAAGAGAATATGTTAATTTTTCATTTAGATATCTAAGAAAAACCCAATTTTCAATGTTTTTACTATTTTTTTTATTTCTCGGGCAAAAATTAATATTTTGTAACGTTCTTAGGCTCATTGAAATCGTATTTTGTTATGCAATTCAAATTATATAAAACAATTCATGTACACATTCTTCCCTAGCGTATGCAAACCGTGAAAGTTGGCTCATAAAATGTCAAAAAATTGTGATTAATATTTATATAACAAAAAATGATGAGTAAAATGTATAAATTTTAAATTTACTTACATAAATCAGAGAAGTTTAGAATGATATATTTACTTGATTTTTAAACATTATATTTTATTGTAGAATTAAATTTAAATTTTTTGACATTTTATGAGACAACTTTCACAGTTTGCATACGCTAGGGAAGAATGTGTACATGAATTGTTTTATATAATTTGAATTGCATAACAAAATACGATTTTAATGAGCCTAAGAACGTTTAAAAATATTAATTTTTGCCAGAGAAATAAAAAAAATAGTAAAAACATTGAAAATTGGGTTTTTCTTAGATATCTAAATGAAAAATTAACATATTCTCTTTGTCAAGGTGTCATTTTTTTCAGAATTTTATTAACTTTAATAAAATAAAGAGGAAAAAATTTTAGTTTTAATATTTTTGAAGATTTGAACAGTTTTATAGTTGTTGAAAAAGCAGAGTTCGCACAATTTCGGACGGTAGTGTACTTTTATACTGAAGGTTCTAATTGTTTACATATTCTTATATAGATTAAAACTGTTCTTAACGTTAAGTTGCTTACATAAGAATTTAAGACATAAATGACCACATATAAATGTATCCAAATTTTGATACCTCTCATGATTATATTTTATATAGCTACCAACACCTAGATAAACAATGAGATCCAATGATGGTGAAAGATTTCCAAAACTATCAAAATATTCAGTTTCATTGTTTTTTTTATGTGCTACCCAATGGGTTCCAGGACCTTCTTTATTATCAAGATTAATTATGGCTGATTCACATTTATAAGGTCCTGTGATAGGTAATTCATTTCTCATAAAAACACCACGAAATTTAGGTATTTTCATAAGTTTAGCATATTTAAGTAAATCATAGTCAGTTAGTGCGCGGTGAGGTAGCTTCAATATTAGTTTTTTTGAACACTCTTTGTATATTTCAATCCATTTCCTTGATGTGATTTAATATAAAGACCAAGTCCTTTATGATAGGGTTTCAAATATATACCCTTTCCTATAGCAATGGCCTCCATTGTTTCATAATGTCGATGAGCTTCTGAAAGTTGTTTTTGAGCAGCATTAGCATCATTTACTGCTTTTACAATACCACTGACTCCACCTCTAAGTGCTCCTAATGCACTAAGCCCGGCAAAAATTGGTATTAGCGGTAAAATACCGCTAACTCTTGAAGGTTCGAGGTCTTTATCTTTTGAATAGGCTATATCATGCTCCTTACAAGCCGTATCCAAGGGATAAATACCAGGAACCCCTCGTGCAAGACGTTTTGCCAACTTTGTTCCAGGTTCACAATATTGATAACCAGGAATGTGACACTCGAATGGTAATTTGTTAATAGAAGTACTGAGAAATTCTTGACCACTGCAAGAATTTTTCTTCACTTTATCGTGAGTAATCATTCCTCACTCGACAATGGTCTATAACCAACTGATTGAGGGCGACTATATAAGTGGGGTATTTATAGTTTTTTCATTAGTCAATTCTAAGATGCAGTTCAAGGTACAAGCTGTACAACTCCCGATTGCAAATGTGGATAACCTTATTGAAACTAAAGATAATGAGGTTAAACGACATGGAAGTTTATTTTCAAATAGTATTCGAGCAGCTTTTTGTGGACTATCAAATTGTGGAAAAACGAATGCACTTCTTTCTCTGATTATACATCCGAATGGTTTAGGA